AATGGCCTTTGCCTCCGCCATATTTTGTCACGTTCTCTGAAATACTGAAGAAGATATTCGCCAGGTATGAACTCATTTTCCGTGTACTTTCGCTGTGTTGTTGTTTATCATCGCAGCTGATGACCAGTAGCTTGACAGATGCGTCTTAATGATGTCTTTCTATAAGGATAATGTGATCTATTATCACACGTTCGTCGTCAATGATGCATATCGACAAATTCCCCGTCTTCTTTAAATCTTCTTCTTCCGTCGCCGTTTCTCCTTTCGAGTCGCGGAGGTAGACGGGTCAGACAGAGCTTCCAACATTCCCGATCCTGTGCCAGAGTCTGAGCTTCGGCAAAAAACAACTGGAGTCTGGAACAGACTCCTTCCATATATTTGCTTCTTTAAATTCATAATTGAATTTTCTTGTGGACAGATTTGCCTGAGGGCAGCTGTAAGGACCTGCTCTTGTTAACCTTTGCCTTATTCTTTAAAGGTGTATATGTTTGTAGCGAACCTTTGTGTCCATCCCCGCTTTAAAAAGCCAGTTTTACTTGTAATCTAGTATCCTGACTTGATCCTGTCGTTCTGATCATAAGAAACGTTCAAAGAAACGTGCAGATGCGTAAGGAAGGGACGGTTTACAAGTTATAGACTATTTGGTGTATCGTCGTACTTATCACTCCTCTGCTACTGTCAGTTATTTGGAAGGCACGTTATGAATTCTGAAAAGCAAAGCTGAAACTTTTTAATCATGAATTAGAAAGTTTCAGTTGCTTCCATTTACTTGTACAAAGCAAATTTTTACTTCGGATTAAATCAGCTCTTTCATCATTATTCCGTATCCCGCCCTTACTCTCACTGAATTCATTATCAGAGTTAAGCTTTTTTCTAAAGCTGTTTTCTTAATTTTCCTTTCGTGCAGCCAATGTATAAATGCTGATCAAGTGTGTGTTACATTTCTCAGGCTTTTTTTGATAGTTTATGCTCAAGTTTGTCGCAACTCATTTTTTATCAGATAAACTATGATTCTATTACTAATCACCCACATAAAGTTATTGTTTTTCATTATTGTTATTATTCCGTTTTATAGTTGTTTTGAATTTGCTGACAGCTGAATTTCGTTGGCGAAGTAATAATTGTTTTATATTTTGCCGTACTAGATGGAGAGCAAGCCTTGTACTAAAGATGGTTCCTCAATCTGAATGGCGCGAAATGCGGCAGAAGATTTATGCTATGAATATATGCAGAGGGCAGCGGTCGGAATGGGGATGTGACAGGCGCTGGGTGAACGACTATTTATCCCTAGTAACGGCATACAGTGGAAGTAATGAAAATTTTTATTTTTTAAAGGTCTTATTTTAGCCCTCCGAGAATAGTCTTCATGAAGTATATAAATCATCCGTTGAATCGCTGAAAACGGAGCATCCTTTTCGCGAAGTACTGTTTAGTTCATTTATTACGAAGGTATCAGGGTTGTTATTCAATATTCGGTGTATATAAAAAGTGTTTTAGTTTAACAAACATGGTAGAACCAGTCATCGAGCTCTGCTCATCACTGACACGTCAGTCATGAAGCTTTCAGATAACAAATTCAAGCTGCTCAAACTACCATATCCACTGAAAAGTCTCCAGTTAGTCAGTGTTTCCCCTTATCAGGAGCCTGTCGTGGTTTTGCAGTTTGATAACCTGAGCGACATTGTGTTTTGCCTACAGAACGAGCGCAAAGAAGACCGAATCGGTGAACTGATAGGTGTCCTCGCGGTTCAAAGGCATTTGTATGTTTTTTTATATTTATTTGTCAAGGTTGTTGTGTGTTTTGTCATCACTATTTGAGCTAATAGAGCTTAAAAAGCAGAGTAACCCAGATGTATAAAACAGCTAACCGTTAAAAATAGTACTTCAGATTTAGATGTTAGGCAATAGTCCTTCCTGCAGCAAAGGTCGATTTCCTCTTCATAAGCAGGTACGCCTCAACGAGATGTTTCTCGGTTGGTTCTTATTGTTCTCCAACGCTTCTACCGTCAGTGCATGTTTTGCAAGTACGAAACGTTTCGAAAATATTTCCATTCTCTTTTCGATCCTTTTTATTAAACAAAGTTTGGCGAAAAGCTTTGAGTTCACCTGATAGTTTTCTCAGACCGGTCGTTGCAGTCGGCACTTGCTCGCTCGTGTCATGTCACATTGACTGATTTGATGATGATTGATGACAATTGATTTGATGTTTACTGCACGCAGTGTGTTAGTGCGTCTTTCACGTAAGTAGAGCAGAAGAACTAATTACTCAGTATTCCAGAAGATGAGAAGAGTGGCAGAGTTGTTGGCGGAATTAAAATAAAACTGTTCTTTGACTGCCAGGTTAGAAAGCTAATGGCTTCTTTAATATGAATGCACAAGAAGTTGAAGGAAAAGGATAAAGTGATAGCTAAATTGCTGCGGTGATGTAACAAATGTGAGCACTTGGCTGACGTAGTTTCGCACGTCTCATAGTAATAATGAATCTGGTGTCATTTCCATCCCTAAAGCCGATGATCACTTTGACGGCAATGTGAATCGATGGAAGATGGCTTCACAAAGTCGTCACGGATTTCCGTTCTGACGTCAAAGAGAGCATAGCGGCTGGCGCAACCTAATCGTTTGATTGTACGCACCGCACATTTTATCGAGCAGATTGCTTTCCTTTTCACTGTAGGATTTATCCTAAAGCAAGCCGCCGACTAACAGAATGTGGTCTATGCTCTGCTTCCATAAGTTGTCAGTAAATGTGATAGGATTTAAAGCTACCGTGGATTCGTATGAACGTGAAGGTTTACAGCTCGACCAGAATTTTCAAATAATCCTGCTTTCAGCATAGATACAAAATAGAAAAATTACCCAAACTGATAAACAAATGAATATTTGAAAATGTGTCATATAATACTGTAAAAAAATTTTATGGATGGCCTACTAGACGACAGACACATGAAATAAAGTTACTTATTGTGCATTTTTATGATTGTCAAATTGTAAGCCTGAGATCAGTGATTGTTGCATCGTAGAAGAAAGTATTCTTTTCCGAAAGGGTATCTGTTTCTGCCTTGTTCATTCATTTTGCATGCTGGCCTCCTGGTCGATATCTGCCATGTTTTGAGTCGCATGTGAGAAATAGAGCAGATAATACAAGTATAATACTACAGTTTGTTTAACAGGATTAACCTCGTTTTCTGCCGAAGTCACCTTTGCCCGGAACAGAATCGGTCACTCTTTTCGTGGTCCTGCCATTTCACCCTCATTATCCGTCGAAACCAACGTAGTTATCAGTAGTTGAACCGTCTTTCATACTCCGTCGTTAGAACAACTTTCTACATTCCGTACAACAGGACTTCCCCGGCGAAGACGAAGTACTATGTAATTTTTGCCAAAAGTGACACCCCTTTCTCAACCAAAATATTGGACGTATTTAACAAATACGTAACCGCGTGTCATGTAGAAGTTATTGAACTGAACTTATGCTTAAATAAGTGTAAGACTATGTCTATCTGGGATAGCGCATTTCTAAAACATACTATATCAAATCAACATGAAAATAAAATGCCATGGAGCACTTTTTATAACTGAAAATGTTCCTATCGGGAAACTGTCTTTATTCTTGAAACGAACAGTTTTCTACGAATTTGTAGTTCCAGTGATACGTTATGGATGCGAAATACAGACCCTTAGTCTGAAAGTTATTTGTAAACTGCAGCCTGCGCAACGCAGCATGGAAAAATATGTCGTGAACAATGCAACAATAACAAACAGGAAGAGGAACGAATAGGTAAAAACGTACGGGAGACTGCAGTGTGATTGTATAAATGAAAAAGCTCAAAAGACAGTGTGCAAGGCATGTTGCAAGAAGAACCAACCATCGCTGGACGGCAAGACATTTGATTCAGTAGTAAACGACCAATATTCAGATCATCCTCCGCATCGATGGCAGGATGAAATGAATAAACTCTTCCGTTCAAGATAGATAAGAATTGCAAAAGCTACAAGTCTATGGCAATGTCTTGGAGAGGCATTTACTTAGCAGTGAATCGAAAAAGGCTGACGATGATAATCTTTAATTATTCATAATCGCTTAAGAGTTTTCGAAATTGTATCTAAGATTGTTCCACTGGCTGCAACCGTCGCCTACCTATCGCGGATTTCTTCTTGCCTTGAAAGAATAATCGAATCGAGAAATTTGTCTGTCGAGATTTTTTTCGTGTTCATCATGGCATAATAGTTCTTTGAGATAGAGGACTATTGAGGGAGGACATAACGAAACTGCAGGTCGTCAGTAATCTTTAGCTTGACAGTTGTGATGCAGTCATTTCATTACAGCAGTTTTAAACCCGTTAATGCGAAAGTCATTACTGTCATCTGTTGGTAGATTTTGGATTGTTTTTCAGTGGGTCTCTTTACTGACGAGAACTAGCTTATGTATGTAGAAGGCTACAGTCAGATGCTGAAATATAAAACAAACTTAACCAGCCGTTTTGGTTTACCATAGTTTTTTTACCTACGTTATTGTATCGTTACACTGTTTTTAGAAATAGCGAAGAACTGAACGTTCACATAGCGAAAGATCTCGAATGTCAGTTGGGATCGAAGCGCCGTTGCCTGAGCGTTAAATACGACCACAACACGATAGGACCCGTTTTCAAGAAACGCGGTCGCGGTCAGATAGAACTTCTATTGCCGGTTCGCGCCTGAGATGCATGTTTTTTATTTTACCGTTTGTCTGCTACGCGGCATATTTAATAACGAATGAGTGTTTTTTTCGCAATCTGATGATATCAATAGTCGATCATTTTTTCATATTTTAGCCTATTTATTTGTTTAACATGTCGATATGCGATTTATCTTAATCGATCAGTTTACGGTTATGCCATTTTGGCAAAGTGATTTGTATTTCACTTTCCTTTTTGTGTGTTGTTCTGTTATGCTTTTATAGAAATAAAAGTTCTTGATCGCAGATGTAGGCATTTTCATTTAGATTAAAATGTTGGTTTATGTTAATACTTTTGCCATGAGAAATCACTCCAATCGGTTCTACTAAGATATCGTGAAATAGGTGTCGTTTCAGAAAGCTAAAATTGAGTATAATCAGTAACGATTACCCAACTTTTGCAGGAAGTAACCTTACAAACTGAGCATACTATGGAATCAGTCGCGAGTCTTATGCCTGACTGATGCCTTTCGGAAGGATGCCTTAAGTTGGTCTATAACATTTCCTCACGGTCATGTGGGCGCGAGTCTGTACCTATGTATTTTACGTATGCCATTCTATTCCCACTGGATCAGATCTATCATTTATAACTTGAGAAAACGTTCCAGTTTCCAAGAGACCTTCCTCACCTTGATGTGTAATAATAGATATATAGTTTTATGTGACAAACAGTTAGCAACCGCAAAAGTCGAATCTGGGGGACAGCTGTCAAAGGAGAGCTGGAAATATTCAGCCCATTTTTGAGGCATTCCTTCTGATCTGCCTATGCTACACCTTTTGAATCCAATTCTTGTAACAACCGTCGTACTTCTCTAGCACTACACGCCTTGTTGTCTCCTTCAGCCAAATACTATTATACTACTGAACCATGACGATCGCTCAATTAGGTCTGTGTTCAATGAGATTCACAAAAGATCTGTGCAAGAAGTCAAAAGCTATTGTAACCAGGTGTAGTCGAAAGTCGGTTCCTTTTTCGTGATGTGCATTCTCGAGAATTAAAATTTTTATGGAAACAAGATTTAGGCAATTATCAGCGTAGCGTCCCCTGAAGACGACCGATACCCATTCAGTCGAAATTACTTTAGTCCGTTGATAAATAGCACATTCTCTACATTCTGGCCAAAAAATCCGGTAATATGTCCTCGTTCAGACAATTGCAGTATTTTTGGATTTCATCAGTGCTAAACAGCTCTGTCGTTTGTCTTTTACAACAACGTGCAAGGGCATTTTCTGCTGACCAAAACTTGATGACTTGTTAGACACCCCTTGATCCCTTCATCCATACGATGAAAGGTAAAACTGCAAGTTCTTTCAGTGTCACGGATGTTTACATATAACGCTTGGAATTATCCAATCATTAGAGGTTATCCGTACCGAAAGAACATCGATAAAAGTATTATATACCATAAACAACTTCACTAAATGTGGGTTTAGATATAAATGCGTAAGAGCGACCTTTCACTTGTTGAAGATTTTATTGCTCAACTGTTGAGCTTCTTTCTAAGGAAAAATAAGAAATATGGTAAACAGTAAATAAATGACGTCTAAACTGGTACAAACATGGCACAACATCACAGTAAAAACCGATCGAAAAAGGAACTGATTCAAAGCATACCACTTCATCACATTGAACAGTGTTACTGCTGCAATTGTTGCCATTTCTGTAGTTGCCGTTATCTAAATCTTTGTTCCACACGGTGCGTGCTAAAGGTGGGATATCAGATCTATGGTAGAGCTTTGTCCGATATGAAATATTGACAAACTGAGATTTG